AGGAAAGGGGAAAGAAAAAGACTGGGGTGACTGCAGGCGGGATGCCAATGTCCTTGGTGCGGCGAGAACAGCTCTGCAGGGCACCGCGGCTCGGCTGGTTGGCAATGTCAAAGCAAGCTTGTCCTTTGGTGCTGGAACAATAACGCTGAGGGCGATCGCCAAATGTAAAGAGACCATGACTTTGTCAACAGGCGGGTCCTGGCTAAAGCTGCCGCAGCATTCAGCAGCATTTTACGCTTCTTTGTAGGTGAAGGCTAATTTGACATTTGTCTGCATTCTGACAACAGTGGTTTTCTTTTTTTCTGAAGATTCGAAAGGAAAACGCTGAGCCTTAGCATGAGGAAAATGAGTAACAGCTTTACAGCTGTACCAGCAATTACTCCAGTTTATCCACAAACAGGTGGTTGTCCTATCTTAGGGCAGAGATTTTGTTATGAGGAGGCTAGAAAAATCATAGCAAAACTTCTGTGTAATACTGTAAATATTAAGGGGTCTAGAATTAGCCTGACAGGAAGACGAGCTCCAAAATATACTTGGTGCATGAAAGGGGGACCACAGTGCAAAACACCCTGCAGCTGCAACTGCTTTCCAAGGAACATACCAACTGGCCAGCAACTCTTCCCACATCTCCCAGGGACATGGGGAGAGTAAGCTAAGTATTAGCTATGCATCTTAAGAGTATCTTTAGGTCTCTGCATCCCCTCCAGGCCTCCTTCCTTTCCACCAGCTCAACAGAGGTCAGGATAGTCTACTAAAAAGAAACTAATATAACACAAAGGCAAAAAGGGATTAACTTAAGTCTAATGTAGGCACCCCTAGACCAGGTTCAGGTTTAGTAATCAACAGGTAAACTAAAGGTACTGAAATAGGCACTCAGCACTTTCTGGTCCAAAGGTTTCTGTAAATTCGAGGTTCTGCTGAAGGATGCTTTCAACACACAGCAGGTTCCTTGGAATAAGAATCATCATTTTGTACTGGGTTTCTAAAGCCTAAGGTAGAACAGACTTCTGGTCTGTGTTTAAGATGCTACCATGTTACTTCCTTAGAGGGGGTGATAATTACAGTGGATTAGCGATCTATTTTTTACACAGCAGGTTGTAAACTTGCTGTCATAAACTGTGGTGTCAAATAGTATCAGCAAGCTCATAAATACATCAGAGAAAATATGGGCAAGAAGTCCAAAATCAAACACTAAGGAGAGCAGGCAGAAATGTAGCCTATAGCACTCCTAGTCCCAAGACTGTGTATGACTGGTGAATACAACAAAAAGTGGTCAGGCTCACGTGCTCTCCATGTACAGCATCTCTTACTGACACTGCTAAGGATGGAGTAGTGGATGGACCGCAAGCCTGATTCAGCAGCACATTTATCATGTTTCCATGTTCTGAATCAAGGTGATACTCAGAACAGCTATTCACAGAACAGGTTCTGTCATTAGGGATTTACAAACTAGAAATCAGACAAGCAACCTAATGGAAAATAATAATTAATATCATATTTCCTAACAACAGGCCAACAGGCCTCACATCTTTTGCTGCCCGTGCATGCACATTTAAATAAATAAATAGATGTAAACATGCACTTAAATAAATGGAAGTCAAATCAAATTGATTCTTCTACAGAGCAGGAAAAAATGTAGCTCAGATGGGGGCTGGGTAAGCGAATGAAAAAGTGATTCATACAGGGAAATATTAGCAAGGAAGTAGTAAGTCCTGAGTGTTTGTAGCAAAGTGTTGCTTTCAAATCATGGTTTCTCCTGTGTATTCATGTGGTTCTCTGGAGCTCTTCTGCCTTCTGTTTGCTCTTTCTTTATCTGAATAGGACATCAGATGAAAACATCAGAAAACAGTTTTAAAAAATAACCTAAAAAAGATCTACAAATATCACAAAATTTGAACTCTAGATACAGTCCAAAACCAACCATGGCCTGTAACTTCTGTTAATATTTACGGGAATCAGTTGTGCATAGAGGAAAGACCTCAGTGCTTTTACAAATCTCGAAACTGTCAATATAATATAATGCCCATGTACACTGACAACTTCATACCCATGCATCTGTATCTTACAAGTAGCAATAGCCAGAGAGGCTTCTTAGATTAACACTCTGTTTTTTGGTAACCTTCAGTTTCAGATTGATTTGAGACAACTATATAAAAAATGCATACTCACAAGGGGTGCCAGCCTCCAATGTGAACACAACCGTGTGGTGTTTTTTTTAAATAATCAGCTGCAGTGCATTGGCAGCTCACCATTGTGTGGTTTTCATTTGGAGTACAAACAAGCTGCACGTGCCAGTATGGCAGGAGAACCTCTGCTCAACATGTTATCCAACATTTTGATACTCAGTAGTGATCACAGAATCACAGAATATTAGGAGTTGGAAGGGACCTCGAAAGATCATCCAGTCCAACTCCCCTGCCAGAGCAGGATCACCTAGACTAGGTCACACAGGAACGTGTCCAGGCAGGTTTTGAATGTCTCCAGAGGAGACTCCACAACCTCTCTGGGCAGCCTGTTCCAGTGCTCTGTAACTCTCACAGTAAAAAAGTTTTTCCTTTCCTGATGTTGGTTCTATACAACCAAAATGAGCCAGCTATGCTGTTACCGATTATCGGTGGCTGGCTCAGCATGCTAGACAGTATATTTTTACAAAATAATCAGAAACTTGTGAGAAACTCCTTGGCACTCAAAACATACATTTTTCTCTTGGATGAAAAAATAATTTGGAGCCTTTTAACATTTCAGCTGTAAGTCAAAGAATTGTAGCAGTGACTTCCTTTAAATCAGATAAACTGAAAACTCATGAAGGCAAATGATAATAAAGTGCTGATAAAGTTGATTTGTTCTGTGATCAGCTGAAGAGACTCTCCTTCAGAGGGAAGATTAAGAAATTATTTCAGGTAGCAGAGCAAACCCTGCAGAAGATTATTCTGTACAGAACAGGATCTAAGAATCTTCTCAAATTTCATCCAGTCCTCTCTCAACCAAAAGACTACTGATCTCAGGCCTAATGTCCTTTTTTAGGAAAAGCTGACACTGACATTAACAAGGAGTTTGTCTCAAATCAAGACTTTCTAAAAACTGAGTAAGGACCTGAGATTCTGGCTTTAATAAACAAATGAAAAATCTACACTTAAATCCATTCCTTTCTCTGCCACGGAAATAACCTTTATGTCAATAAGAAAAGACGGTAGATTTTTACACAGAATCAGAGTCTCTGGGATGACAGATTCTGGCAGGAATCGAAGTCATTGTATATTATCTAGCACATTTATCAGTTCTGGAAGCCAGTTTCTCTCAATAAAAAACACAAAACCACATATTTTTTTTCTCGCCTGGGGCACTGGCTGCTCTGTGGAAATCTGCAGGGTCCTAAGCTCACTGAGAACAAAAATTATCTTTTAAGCTCTGTTGCTGACCTTACTTCATTCCCAGTTCACACATAAAAACATATAATGAAATGATAATTTAGTCTGGAAGTGGGCTCTGAAGTTCAGCCGCCTCCTTCCTTCATGCACAGCAGCACCAACTTCAAAGTTAGTGACTAACTCAAAGTCAGATCAGGTTGCTCAGGGCCTTGTCCAACTAAGTTTTGTGTATTTCTCATGATGAACAGGCCATAACCTCTCTGGGTAACCTGTTCTGTGTTTGACTTCCCTCATAGAGAAGAGGTTTTTTCTCCTGGTACCTCATTAGAATTTCTCTTGTTGCAACCCATGTCCCTTGCCTGTCACCCTTTCACGCTCCCCAGGAGTCTCTGTTCAAAAGTCCAGACATGAATCTCTTGATTGACTCCCAAATTACACCTTTTTCTCAGACCCTCTCAGTCACCCACCAATGTGAATGACCATGTTTCACCTAAGCTTACTTTCACCCAAGCTTCCTCCACTGTTGCAATGTCAGAAAAGTTGCTCTAGCTCTGTCCCTTAATGTGACATGCTGGTGTGCATCTGTCACCCCAATGCCAGACCAAACATGAGGCAGGCTCACGCTTTATGAGAATATACACTCTGAAATAAATCACAGCTCATCCTCTGTGACTCTGTGCTCCAATGCTTCTGCACTCTTACATGATCTTAATGTTACAAATTTGCTATAAACCTGCACAGTCTGGAATGACTTGCTACCATAAAAAGGAGTCCATATACTATAACTGCTTTCTTTACGGATACTTATTGCTAAAATATTTAAACCCTCATTTGTTATTAGGATCCCTAGAAAATGCTGTTCAATGTGCAGTGTTTCCACTGGCTAAGCCAGGCAGTTTGGAACAAAGCACCAAGCCCACATCTCATTGGAGTCCGGGACTTAAGCCTGATAAAACCACCGGTAGCTAAGGCAGCAGGAGGCAAATTGAAACACCTACCTGGCGTGGGTGTAGGTCCTGCCTCAACCTAATTGGCAACCATAGCCCATTTTGCAAGACGTTGTGACATGGGGGATGCTTCTGCTCATGTATTGGGTTTCTGTGAGGGTTTTTTTAGGTGTTTTTTTTGGTAGCAGCAGAAAGACTATGGAGGTAACTCCTGTAAGAAGCTGCTAGAAGCTCCCCTGGCTCCAATTTCAGACCCACCTTTGACCAAGGCCAAGTCAATCAGCACCTCTGTGAACGATGTATTTAAGAGGGGTGCAGTGCATGGCATGGTTTACCCTCGGCCCTGACCAGTGCAGCCTTGGCATGGGTGGTGTGGACCTGGCCCAGCCCAGGCTCCAGCCCAAGCTCATGCCCCACTGTAGCTCCAGCCCAAGAGCCATGAACTCTTCAAGAACCAGCAGGAGAAACCTGCAGGGGAGAGAAAAGTGGGATGTGAGGGGAAACAACTGCACTGACACCAGAGTCGGTGAAGAAAGGAGGGGGAGGAGGTGCACTGGAGCAGAGATTGC